ACGAGTAATTCAACCAATAAAATTATTATATATGCAAATGACCAAATGCCTGGTCATTATTTGATAACTTGGGGTCATTTAAAATTTGATCAAATGACCAGCTCATTTACCATCCATGAATCAAATTGATACGCGATAAATATAAGAGTATCGCACTATGCGATGCCTAATTAAGTTCTATTTATTCATTTATTTTTTTTTTTTAACTTGGGAAGTTTCGCCAGTGGCTTTATTAAGATTATTATTATATAGCTATATAACTATATAAACATTTACTTAATTTGTAGGGCTGATATCATCCGGATACTTCTAAGAGCGACCTACCGCACTAGTCTAGCAGTTGAACTAGGGGCTGTGTTAAACTAGCCCAAGGACCGACCATCTACTGATAAATTTATTAGTATAAACTGTATATACAAATAATTTATTGTATCGGTATTGATATAAACTGTATATACAAATAAATTTTGTCCAATCAGATTACATGGGTGATTATATGCGAAAATCACAAGTGGTACGTAGTAAGTTTTACTGTTTGATTTTATGGTTTTTTTTACTTGACGATTTTTTTTTTCTTTGCTTTAACGTCAATCATCATCAACGTAATAATTAAATGTTAGTGGTGTAGACAGATTGTCATAATTTGTCATAATTTGATTATGACCACATAAAAAGCAAGGGTAAACAGAATTTTTAATACAAAGAGCTACGTGTTTGAATTGTAATAAATAAATAAATAAATAAATGAATAAATGAATAAATAAATAAATGAATAAATAAATGAATAAATAAATAGATGAATGAATGAATGAATGAATGAATGAATGAATGAATGAATGAATGAAACGAATGATGCTAAAAAAAAACCCGAAAATTTAAATAAAAGTCATATTTAAATTTTCGGGGTTTTCTTGACACTCAAATACACCGACACCGATAATTAAATAATGCTATAAATGAACATATGCTAAATTATGATTCAGAATAAATTGTGTCAACAATTCAAGATTAACAAGAGTTTCCAAGAATTCCAAAATTGTAGATTACATATATATTAAGTTAATAATCAACATTAACCATGACGATTTTTTTTTTACCGCTACTGACTTTGTTAATTGATGTTTTTATTGACCGATGTCAATTGCCACGTTTATTACACATGGCTTTAGATGATCTCATATCGATACATACGAGGAATAATACTATGACAATACAGAGATGTAGTATCGGTATTGGTATTTCCTTATGGTATTATAAATCAGATTACGTATACGGGTGTCAACTATGATCGACATCATCGACATCATCACCATCATCACATAATCACATATCGGCAATTTTAATAAATAAATCAGTTATAATTTCGGTCAACAAATGTCGATTATCTGACCAAGGCCTTGAAGTAAAATAATTGGAAATTTAGTCAAATGATTAACAAATTTGATCGAAATTCTAACCGATGGGTTCCTTTTTTAGCGTTAGACAGTTCTAGACTGTACAGATCCGCTGATATACTTTTTTTTGACCGTCGTTTTTATACATAATCAGATTTGCACCCCTAATTTGTCATCTAGATACAAGATTAAATAGGTGTCTTAAATATCGATATATTTTCAATTTCACGATTATTCATAATACATTCGGAATTCATGCTAAAATTTGAGTGGTTTTTAACAAACTTATTGTTGATTTAAAATGTTTGAAACAATTGAATGATTATCTACTTAACGTTAATAATGATAAGCTTTGAAAAAAAAAAAATTCTAACCAATTAAATATAAACCATGCGAGAAAATAGTTAGTCAAACAAATTAGTTTAATTAAAAACTAAAACATCTCAAACTTAAAAAAAAAAACAAAATTTAAATTCTAAATAACCGGTAACTGCCTAACCACATTCATAATTTTGTAGACATGAAAATAATGTTAAGTAGATTAACACGTAGATCTCGATTACTAACTAGCATTTTCGCTGAAACTTTAATCATGTTATTTGGGGTCTTTCGCTTTGCCTTGAAAATCACCCTCCGATATTTCCGATCGGGAAAATTAGGACCTAAGTCCTGGTTCATGTTTATTTGTAAATCATTTTTTTACCTTTATTAATTCAAAATAGTTTATTGAATAAACTATTGAATAAATAAAGGTAAAAGATGTTTACACATAAAATGAACCGGGACTTAGGTCCTAATTTTCCCGATCGGAAATGTTGAAACAGGAGTGACTATTCAAATTCGAATATAATTACACGTGATTGTCAACCAATCGAATCTCGAATTTTAGCAAATCGGCCAATCAGATTGCAAAAAAAAAGTTGCGGGATTCACAGGAATATATTATAGGGTGAAACAAAACCATAAATTCATCCGTTAAATTTATTCACGTTTCATAGAAAGTTAAGCTACCCGAGCTTTTAAAAAAAGTATTGTAAAATGTATAAAAAAAAACTATTTATCAATCGTGTAACCATATCGGAATCATCTACGAATTTGAACGATCGCTCCTGTTGAAATGTCGAAGGCCCATCTTGGTAAAAGACCTAACCATATGGGTTAATTAAATATATATGACGTAATAATAGGTTTGGTCTGGAAAATATAACGTAATAATAGGTTAGGTCTGGATTCAAATATATAATGATAATAATTACTCATTCGATGAAGATTAGAAAGCAGTACTACGTATGTATGGGTGGTCGATTATCACAAAATATTTACCGTTACCCTGAAATTTCTAAAATATCTGAAATATTGATACGTACAGTACTGCAGTACGTAGGTAAGTAGGTATTATCTGTTATCGTAACATGTTACCTGGAATAAATATTCAGGTAATTATCCGAAACTCAAGTGGAGGTGAATTTGTGTATGATTATGTAATTGCCTACCTAAGTCTCATGTTACTATTTTTAGTCAATGATCGTAGCGATACAATAAATATTTTTTTTTCTCACCGGGATATCAAAAAAAACGTTCGTTTTCCTATACTTTGTAAAACCGGAATAATTTAAGAATTTAGAAATATGAATAGAAAATATGAATAGAAATATGAATAGAAATATGAATAGAAATTTCCAAATCTACTTAAAATTCCAAAGCGTACATAAATGAAATTCCAAACTTAATTTGAATAAAAAATTTCAAGTCTACCTAAATAAAATCTCAAACCTACTTTAAAATCACCAAATCTATTTAAATAAAATCTCAAACCTACTTTAAAATCACCAAATCTATTTAAATACTTTAAAAAAAATTTTTTTAACTTAGTGTAAACACATATACTAACCTAATGCACAATGTATATCAAAGATCATTTATCCAGGATAACTTTCATCACTTTTTAGAAGACGTCAAAGATTTATGATGTTTATAATGTATGCTCTTCTTAAAATAACAGTAGTACAACTGATACTCTAAAAGAATGCTACATAGCGATAGGGATTGTGTAAAGAATTTTTTATCACAATGATACAATGATACAATGATATATATATATATATAGTACAATAAAATATAATAACACATGGATAAAGATCTGGTTTAGCTTTCATAGCGGATAAATATAGATTTAAATAGAACACAAATGTATAGACAAATGTAAAGACAAGTGTATAGACAAGCGTATAGACACAAGCGTATAGGCACAAGCGTATAGACACAAGCGTATAGGCACAAGTGTAGAGTAAACACATCAATTAGAAACGGTCTTCTAAAATTCTCTAAAGATGCATAATCTCCTTAAATGCAAAATAAAGATTTTAAAGTAAGTACGTATGTATGTACGTATGGTATGTAGATACGTACGTACATGGAATTTAAGGAATAAGCCTATAAGATATATAAAGGTATATAAAGGTAGATAAAAGTATATAAAGATATATAGAGGTAGATAAAAGTATATAAAGATATATAGAGGTAGTAATAATTACAAACGCACATTATTAAACTCGTCAAACAACTAGTTATAAAAATTAGTCGCAACACGACATAAAGTTACGAATTGAAGCATGCATTATGAATAACCAAACACAAAATCATACATATTATATTGTATAACGATAACACGAACTGAATAAGATTAACCAGACATTAATTATTTTAGTAACACAGCCTTGAAATAGTAATGTAGGTATATTTTATCTAAATGTGATCTAAATGTAAATGGTGATAAACTTTGTTATAGATTATGTAATCATAAATTACGATAATACAAAATTATATTATTTTAATAACTAAAGTTATATGCAATAAAAGAATACAGTGGAAATAAGTATGTTATCTTTTGATCATTTTGATCATGTACAATTGTTCGTATAATGTCCGCATAATGTTCGCATACAGTAATGTTCGCATAATGTTCGTATAATGTTCGCATACAGTAATGTTCGCATAATGTTCGTATAATGTTCGCATACAGTAATGTTCGTATAATGTTCGTGCAGAGGGATAATATCATATGATGCTCGTGCAGAGGGATAATGTTCTTCGTATACTGTTCGGATAATATTAGAGGGATAGAATGTTCGTACAGAGGGATAATGTTCGGATTAATTGTGCAGAGGGATAATGACTAACTTCAAACACTTGTTGTTTTGCACGAATAAATTATATTAAAAGTTAATAAAAGCAGGCAGTTGCATCTCATTGATCATACTCATTAGTTACTTTAATATTAATGTTGATGTTAATGTTTAATAATGCATTGTTGAATAAAGGTACGTGAATGATTGATGAGGGGGAAATATTATTATCTTTAAAAAGTACATCATATGCGTCATAACTAAGCTGTAAATATACATTAATCTAAGAAGTAATATATCTAAAAAATTCATAAAGTTCATAACTAACCTTAATTTCCTTTGAATAATATAATAATAAAAATAATTATAACAATATAGTAACAATATAGTAACAATATAGTAACAATATAGTAACAATATAGTAACAATATAGTAACAATATAGTAACAGTGACAATAATAATAATAATTAATAGACAGGACTACAACTGATATAATTTTTGAGCATAAAATACATGATGAACAAGATAAGTTTGATAAATCTCACATTCAGCTTCAACCCTCGATAAAAATTCTTCAATGCTCTTTTTTCTTCCTCTCCTTACAAAATCTTTAATCTTTCCATCAATACCTTCACCATTTAATTTTATTTGACCACCAAATAATAATAAAAATACTTTAAAAAGTTCTCGAAAATATTGTGAGCTTAATTCCCCAATTTTCCCACCCCATTTCCCAATTTTCATTATCCGGGATTCATGTGTTATATCGGATAGATTAGGTAATGAACGAAGATTCTGATAATGTGTGGTAGCTATGTTGAAGCTTACCTTTCGTGAGATTAGATGATCACGAACTAAAAGAATTAATTATTAAATATAAAAAGTTAATAAATTATATAATTATATAAAAATAATAATAATAATAATAATAAATGTTATAATTCTTACTGGCTCTGCTAACAATCCTGGTCCAAGGTCCATCACTACTAGGTTCACCGTCTGTATCTATTATTTCGATCCACCCATTAACCTTAAGTACTCTAACACACTCATTCAACAGTTCAGGCCATTTATCATCTGGTACATCAATCGCCATAAGTCTAATGCTCACATAATCGAAAGTAAGATCATCATATGGAAGACCATTTAATACATTGTGATGTTTCAATTCAACATTTGAATTTTTAGCGGTCGGAAAATCGAAGGGGAACATATCAATCCCGGTGAACCTTGGGGCTTTATATGTTGATGCCATATCACAACACCATATTCCCAGACCGGAACTAAAAAAGTAAATATGATTAATTATGATTAATTATGATTAAGTTTGGCTTGATCATGTGACACTCTGAGAATAAAAACGCTTCACTCTGAAAAATTAAAAAAATAAACATACCCTATTTCTAAAATCCTTACTTCATTATCATCTAATAAATCATTAATAGGTGCATGAAAATTTCCATCCATGACCTCTCGTACTAAACAATGTCTTAAATTTATTTTATCATCCACTGGCATTAAGTTTAGATCATCGATTTGTGTGGAAGACACATTCAAAAACATATCCGTGAAATTACTTCCTGTTGGTCTCGGTCTAGATTGTCCTGATCCCATTTTTACAACCAAGATTTACCGTAAAGTTTTTTAATACAGTTCTAACTATGATTAAATTTTATAAATTAGACTGTAGATTATATTAAAAAGACTATAAAACTAGATTGTAATATTAAAATTGTAAATTGTGATAAAGTAAACTATAACTTTGTGGACTAAAGCAAGATCAAAAAATGATTATTGACGTTTTCACTATTATACAATAGTTTATACAATAGTTTATACAATAGTTTATACAATAGTTAATAAAATAAACTAATCGGGAATCCACCAAGTACATAACAGGTTTAAAGTTTATTCTCGAATAATAGATAATAGTTTCGTTTAAATAAAAAAAAAAATCGCGATCTAAAAATTTACCTAAAAGAATGTTTTTTTTTTTGTTTAACGTAAACTATTTTATGATTGATAGTGAACTTTTATTTATTCCGTTATGTTCGTCTTTAAAATTAAGGAAAAAAAGAAACCCCCCGTGATTATTTTTTTCCAGCGAGTTTTTTAAAATTTCTCTAGCTCGCAATTATTTTTTTATTTTTTTTTTTTACAAAAGTGGTTTCATCCCGTCTTTATAAGGGTAGTCGTTACAATAGATCACATTATATCACCTTCATACACATGCCCTTACGTAATGATAATTATATGAAAGGCATAGCTTACGACGCAGTATCGGTTACAATCTCGGTTACAATATTGATATGTAACACACACATAACTGCTGAATATAACTGAACATAAAACTGACCACATATATTATAACTGAACATATAATATACAGATAATATACAGATAATATACAGATAAAATATACAGAGATATTATACAGAGATAATATACAGAGAATATACAGATATAACTAAACAAACTAAAAACATACTAAACATACTAAACATATCTGACGATTTTTTTGGATGTTCTGATATTCTGTGGCGTGATTTCTAAGCCATCCACTATCGACCATTATATTACATTTACATATATGTATAATATTATACGTATCTTATATTAATATTTATATGTTAATTTTATTATATATTAGTGATATTATTTATACGGGCTAGTTTGAATGTATGAAGATCAAACATCGTAACATTGTAGCAACATTATATGGAAGATCGATTCATTTGAAAAAAAAGAAAAAAAAGAAAAAAAAAAAGAAAAAAAAAGAAAAAAAAGGGTTGCTATAATAAAGGTATTTATATTACCCATTTACATTTTAATGAATTCCAATGAACAAAGAATACGTTAATGTGATGTATTTGAAATAAACACTAATTTGTAAGTTCATCGTCAGGGGTCTCTTTTCTTTTAATGATGTTAGTACGTATGTACATAAATAAGTATCTGTATGTAAAGTATCAGTATCTGGTATGTACACTACATAACGTACGTACTGTACGTACTGTACGTACAGTACTGTACGTATTGTACGTACATATCGTGCGTAGATTCATTTGCCTAGAGTTACGTGGGAATATCGCGTAAGAATTAATCTATCGAAATAAAACGCGTTAAAAGGTATGTAATTAATTAATAAATCATATATTTATTATTTACTAACATAAATCATATATTTATTATTTACTTTATTATTATTATTACAGTATTTATTTATCAAAATGTTATTAGCTTTAGAAACACGCGTTACGTGTTGGCTGCTAATTTGATTTCTTATATTTTTTACTGTATCTGTATCTTACGCATTTCGCATTTCGCATTTCGCATTTCACATTTCACATTACCCATTACCCATTACCCCATTATGCATTATGATAGATTTCCAACTTAAACAAAGAAATTCGGCCTGAATAACAATATATCAATGAATTTTATACTCCGAAAATATAATGATTAAATATCTGAAAATAGCAATTTGTTTCAAACAAAACAAAAAAAAAAAAAAAAAAAAAAAGAAAAAAAAAAGTGAATAACAAAATCATAATATTCAAATATCATGTTATTATTCCTTTTAATTTTCAATTTCTGTTGATCCAAAAAAATGAACCAATTACAATTATTACTTATTTTATTATGCTTTTTCGTTTAGCCGGTACATATTAAAATGTCTGTAGCTCTTTTCTTTTATAGAAAGTTTTCCGCGGAATTTAACTCTTGGTGTTTATCATTGGCTTGCATTTATGTTGTGTCAACTTTTACGTCTGCAAGATGTTTTCCAATCTTATTATTACTCTATTTAGAAATCCGTATCATTTGTTCTTGTTTTTTATTTCCACGTACGTACGTACGTACGAACGTATGTACAGTACATACGTACAGTACATATGTACATACATACGTACGTACCTACGTTCGTACCTTCCTAAGTACCTAGAACCAGGACTTAAAACTTTATTGCCTATCTTTTATTTCATTGAAACGTTTATCATTTAAAATATCGGTCCATATGTCCGCTGTATTATATTACCATTTTACCATGAGGTTTTAAGCCCTGCCTAGAACCTTTTCACAATATAAATTCAAGATTCATTTAGAATAATAATATATCGTAATAATAAGATCAACTAATTATTATTTATTATCACTTTTTTTTTTTTTTATACTTACTTAACAAGTATTAAATTTAGGCATGTGTACACTACTTGCGTAAATCTTATTTTTCTATATGTTTGACATTTGGTTTATGTATTTCTTTTTAAAATTGCTTTTTTTTTTATTACTTGAACCTTAAAACTGTACTTGTTTATACATGTATTTTTATTATATCAATGCTTAATGACTAATCAAATATATCTATTTAGGAAATTTTCATCATTTTCAAAATTCAATGTAATTATAATTGTTCGGAGTGTAGCGAAGAACCTACATCATACTTACGTACGTACGTACGTACACATATGAATCCACTTTATTGCAATGATCGCACCTGCATAATCGTTAGAGGTCAATGAAGAATTTTATTTCATTGATCGCATTTTTCTAGATATAGTTCTAGATATAGAAAACGGTACCGCATAGAAAAAAAGGTTATACGTACGTACGTACGTACGTATGAAATCAGTGAACACCAAAAAAATTATGTAAGAGAGGGTCGGATATTATGACGCACTTAAGGATTGCTAATAGCAAAATTTTTTTTAAAAAAAGCATATTTATTCACAAAATTTTTTTAAAAAGCATATTTGTTCATAAAATTTATCGAAATAAAATAGCATTCGATTTTTTATCTAATAATTATTCGATTTTTTATCTAATAATTATTGCGCTTTGCAAAATTCTGTGACCCCCCTTGATTACTAATAGTTATAAAATGATTGTGATAGCGATTGTGATTGTGATTGCGATTATTAAAGCTGGCCAATTTATTATAAATCTAACTCAGATTTATGATAAATTGGC